CTTAGAAATGTCAGTAGGGGCGGGAAGGAATGGGTTGTTTTTTGAGGCCTTCAGCCAGAGATGTAGGTTCTGGGGCAGCTGGAAGTCACGCCCTTTAGACCCTTTGCATCTGCCATAGGGCAGCATCTCTGTGAAGACAGCAGCAGAGATTTGCATGGGGTGTATTTGCTGTACCTCAAAGCTGGTGTGAAGGTAGGGGAGCAGAGACCTCTGGACCCGTAAAGGATGCTTGCTGTAGAATAGTAATGTAGCTGCCCGTGTGTGCATTGACACACAACCACTAAAGCTGGGGGAGGTGGACCTACTCCACCAAAAGCTGCCTGTACCATTATTTTTTATGTAATTTATGTTCTTTTTATGTAATTTGATGTCTGCAAGGAACCTGCTCAAGCAAAAGGTGCGGATAGATGAAAAACTTCAAAACCTGGGATGAGAGGGGATGAAAGTGTCATGCTTCCAGGGCAGCACCATGGTGTCAGAGGTGTTAGTGGAAACCTGGAGAAGCAGTGCATTATGGAAGCATTTACTGTGGAGCTGTAAATGCTTTTTATTAATTCATCCAGTTGATTTTGTCATGTCTCATGTGTGTGTGCATGGAGACCTTCCTTCTTGGGCAGTGCTGGGAGGAGGGAGCTCACCCTGCATTCCCAAGGATCCTGGAGGAAGCTGGGACGTTCAGTGTGGCCTTACAGTGCCCTGCATTTTGCTGGAGGTAGGCAAGTTGTTCAGTTGTGAATTGCATCAGTCTTAGCCGCCATGGCCCGACTGTCCCTGGCTGCAGGGTTAGTGCTGGAGCTCAGCCTGGCGCTGCAGGTGTCCTGCTGTGGTGTCCTGCTGTGGTGTCCTGCTGTGGTGTCCTGCTGTGATGCCCTGCTTTGTCTTCACGGGTGCTGAATGGGGATCTGTTGAATTATGGTGCTGAGTCACCGCACAGCCAGGCTCCATAAATAACTGCGGGTGCTCTGCCCCGCACCGAGCACAGTGAGGAGTGGGGAAGTGCTGCTGAGTGCTTGGAGCAAGGGCTGTGGTGGCAGAAAGTGTCTCCTCAGCTCCACACTGCCTTGGGGAGCAGCATAGGGTGAGTCCCATGGCAGTCCAAGCCCTGTCAGGCTCAGTGCCCCAGGCAGCCCTGTGCTGCTCCCCACTCGTGCCCCAGGACTGGCATCCTGCCCGCAGTGTTCTGTGCTCCATGCTGGGTTCAGGCTCCTCCCGCAGAACCTTAATTCCATCATTTTCCCCTAATGTGAATGCACATAATCCTTTGCGTACAGCCTTGCCACTAGAGCAGGGAGAGATCAGGGAGAGAGCAGGGAGGCTGTGCTGTGCATGCCATGCTACACCTGCCCACATTTCAGCAGGTGAAATGAGAAAGCCTTACTCTTTGTGCCCTGTTTGGGCAGAGCATCCAGAAGCACAGGTGCACGTGCCATCCTTCCCAGGCAACAAGAAGGTTGCTGCCTTGCAGCAGCAAGGTTTGCCAACCCTCCTCCTGCCCCACCTGTGGCCTTGCTGGGCTGCCCACTGGCGGCGGTGGCAGCAGCAGTTCTTCCTCTACACCCGTGTGAGGATGTTTCTGATGGTCTTTTGCAGCCCTTGAGCTGACCTATCATGCTGCACTGCCCAACAATCTGCTTTGTGTCAGAGTGAGGGATTTTGAAAGATAAAAACACCCAGAGGAAGTGAAAGTGAGCAAAGGAGAAGCAAAGTGTCCTGCCGGGGATTCTCGGGTTTGTTCTATTTTGTGTCAGCAAAACTGCACTTTTAGCACAGTTTGCTGCAGCGTTGCTGTGTTTCACTTAGGAACTGCTGCTAATATAGATCCATTTGTTCAGCTTAGCCATTATTTCCTCAGCAGTTTTGCTTCTCACATGAAATGCAACTCCAATATATGGGAGCCATCACTGAGGCATACAGGTAACAGATTTGACCCCCAGATGTGTTACACCTGTCCAAAAGCAAAAAGTACGTGGGTGTGTTTTTCTCTTCTCTCTACCTGCCATCCTGGGAGCGTTTGTGTTCAGCAGTGATGCTCTGCATGAGGGGAGAGCATTTCTCACGTTGCAGAGCAGTTGTGTGCGTGCTCAGTGTCTGCAAAGTTGCAGCGTCTGGATGGAGAGCACAGAAAGGCAGGTTGTGTCACTTCAACGCGATGTCTGAACCTGCGAGTGTGAAATGGATTCTGGAGTGAAAATTATGCAGAATTAAATTAGTGTGACCTTACTTTGCATTGGGAGGCTGCATTTGCCCATCTTGCAAAGCCTCGTGCATTTATAACACTTCCCTTGGGGAAAATTACTGAGAGAAATGGAATGAGGTCTCTTCTAATTGAAAAGTGACGATGATTAGGAAGCCAAACACAAAATGTGTTGAGTATTTTTTTTCTCGTTTTGTTGTGTGTGTGTTTTAAGAATACCAGCAGAATTATAAATGACATGCTCTGCAGTTTGGCTTGTTTTTCATTCCCCAAAGGTTTGTTATTAGCATAGCAGCTGAGTTGCACTTGTATAATAACATATTAACTCAAAGTTTGGTGGCTTTTCTTTGACTTCATTAGTTTGACTGAGCTGCTTGGATAAAATCTGTCCAGGTGTATCCAGCTTTCAGTGTGCTGTTCATTGTTCATTTTTTGCCCCTCTGAATATGGAGCCCATGAAGACAAGTTAAAACAGGGGGAGAGCTGGCAGCAGCTTCCACGCCTCGAGTGGGTACGAATGTCTTGCAACTTGAAAAGCACCAGCTGTGTGCGGGGCACTTTAGGATTGCATGTCATTGCCACACTGGGCTGCAGGAGGGTTGCTGCTGGGTGGATCAGAGCTCCCCTGGTGCACCCACTGTTTGTGTGTAGGCTCCGGTTGGGCTGGGGGCAGAGGGAGCCCCGTGCATGTCCTGGTGCAGGGGTTGGGGGTTCCTGCTGGGTTTTGCCAGCATGTGAGCAACTGTTCATTTCAGCAACAAGAGACGCAGCAGGGCAGGTGCGTTACTCGTGGTGCTCATGTGGGTACGTTCAGCTCCTGCTCTGTGCTAAGGAAAATGGAGAAGAGTAGGGCTGCTGATGTGGCAGTTTACAGAATGTTAAGTTGCAGCTTAATTGTCATCCCCCTCCCACAAAGCAAGATATTAAAATCCCTCTGCTATTTATACAGTCAGTGTGATTGTCGTAAGGTTGGACTCGCTTCCACATCACAACCCCCCAGTTTGGGGTCTGACAAGCAAGCAGCACACGGTGCATCGCCCATCACAGCTCCTCCTCCTCCATGGGTGCCCCTTCCTCCCCAGCTGCTCCTGACTGCAACCTCCCAGCTCTGCAGTGCAGGTGGGGCAGCTCTTCCTGATGGCCGAAGAGCTACGTGCATCACTGCGCTGCTGTGAGCAGTGGAGCTGGATTTGGTTTGCTTAGTGTGCCTCTCATTTTAGGAAGGGAACTTTCGTTTATAACTGCCTTCCTCTCCCTTTTCTTCAGAAGTGCTACTTTTTCTTTCTTTCTTTCTTTTTCTTTTTAAGCTAAAAAGGTGGCTTTCCATCGCTGGCCTCATTTAGTTTTTCTTGTATCTTCTTGCTGTGGCCAAAGCACATGTTTCATTCTGAGGCTGAATTGACTCATCTTCCTAAAACCTTGGGTTGTGGCTTTTTGTCTTTGCTTTTCTGCAGTGCTCTCTGCATGAAGGCTTTTCCACTGCCCGTGGGCTCCTTCTGCCCTGGGGTTCTGTGTGCACAAATCCATGAGCTGTGCCCTTGTTGGCTGATGGGAAGCAGGCAGATTGCAGTCAGCCCGTAGAGCTGCTCCCCAGTTACTCCCAGAGCTGCTTCTCCTGCTGATGGATGGCCATAAGTGTGGCTATAGAGTGGGAGCCCCTTCCTCCATCCCCCCATGTCAGCCTTGCCACCGGCCCCTTCCTGCCTTGGAACCCATGCTGGCACAGCTGGTAGCAGCTCCACCAGTGTCAGAGCCACGTCCTGTGCTCCCAGGGCTGCTTACCACCACGTGTCAGGACAAGCTCCTGCTTTCAGGGCGTAACTCTGTGCTGTGCAGGTGGTGGATGGAGCGGGTTAAACATTCTGGGATCTGGGGGTGATGGGCAGTGCGCCTGTCTGGCAGCAGAAATAGCTGCTGCTAGCAGAATGAACTCCAAAGGAACCGGTGGCACTTACCACCTGGACTGTTTTCTTGACATTTATTTGCTTTTACTGGCACTTAAATGCCACCTGCCAGGAGAAAACTTTCCATTAAAAAAAAAACAACTGCCTGACTCAGCAGATGGCATCGCAGGCACTGCGAGCAATGTGATGCTGCCCTTGGGCACCTTGAGTCTGCGTGTGGGCACGTGTGCTGTGTATGTCTGCATAAAGTGCAGGTGGCTGCATCCACAGTAGTGTGAGGCAGAGCCTTCCGAAAGTGCGTTTTGCAGCCATCCCTACTGAGATGCAAAGTGAAAATGCCCAGAACTGTTTTTTATTTCGGATGCCAAGTGTCTCTGGAGTTAAGCAGGTCGTCTGTTTGCTTGTTCCTGTTTGTTTGGAGGGTTTTTGGCAGGTCTCCTGTGTGTCAGTTCAGGCTGCTCAAGCTCCCGCTGTCAGCTGGGCGAGCAGTGCGGTGCTGCAGCCCTGCTCTGCGATGGCCATGCGAGGAGGGGAAGGCTCCATCAGCACCCATGGGCACGGGGGCTGTGCAGCCTGCAGGTAGTGTGGGAGTGGGAGTGGTAGGGAAGTTTTATCAAGTTTTATCCGGGTTGTGGTTTGGAAATCTGTGCTCTGTGGGTCGTGTCTAAAGGTCCTTCCTAGAGACTGCTCTGGGGCACCGAAGACGTGAATTAATGTGGGGTTTTTTTTGTGAAGTATCTGGGCTGAAAGCACACGGAGCCCACGTGTGTGCGTCTGCGAGTGTTGTGGGGGAAGGATGCAGCTGTGCTGTGTCACCGCCTGCTTGGCCAAATTCCTCCTCCTCACACTCCATTAAGTGCTGCTTTTTCAGGTGGCTCACAATATGTCTCTCTCTCTTGCAGCGGAGTTGGAGTTTGTACAGATAATCATCATCGTGGTGGTGATGATGGTGATGGTGGTGGTGATCACCTGCCTGCTGAACCACTACAAACTCTCTGCGCGATCCTTCATCAGCCGGCACAGCCAAGGGAGGCGGAGAGATGAGAATCTGTCATCAGTAAGTCACACGCTGCTCTTCCCATCTGTGCCGTACGGCGCTGTTTGCCAAGTGATGTGAAAGTTGGGAAATGTGAGAGCCAAAGGCGTTCGTCTCAGTTGGGTTTGCGTGTTTGCGGCTCAGTGCTGCCTGGAGAGATGACCAGGCTGGGTCTTGGCTTCATCTGCCCAGGGATGTGGGAGCCTTGTAAGGATGCCTCTGGCTTTTCAGGGTGTTGTACGATGTAGCATACAGGCAGCTCTACACTTTGCAGCTTGGACTTTCCATTAACAAAGCAACCACACCAGGCTGCTCCTGGTGTGCCCTGTTCCTGAAACCACCTTGCACTGCCGGATGTTGGGGATGCACACACCTTGACATTTACAGCACCAAGCTATTGACTCTGGCAGCAGCTCCAGTTAGAGAGTCCCAGACGAGTGTATTAATCTGCTCCATGCCTTCGAGAGGATGGGAAATCCTCAAGGATTTCCAGAGTTTGCAAGGGGTGAAGCAGCACTGCTGTCATTGCTGTGGTGGAGGTGCCAGGAAGTGCCCATCAGACACGTGAGCAGAAACCTCACCAAGGGGATGCTCGGGAGATTCCCAGCACAGCCTGGGCTCTGTGGTTCATAGAAGCCCAAGGAGAAATGTGTTAATTGCCTCTGCAGCTCAAGGAGAGCCTCTCCAGCCTGTGGCAGATGCTGGTCTATGCAGAGCTGAAGGTTTCATCAGATACAGCAGCTCAGTCACAGGAACCTACAGAGAAAAGACACAAGTTTAGTGGAGGGTGAGCATGCTCACTGCTGCCTACATAACCCTGTGCAGGGATACGTTGTGCTGATGGATTTTTGCTTCGTTCACTCTGAAAGATCTTAAAGCTCTTTAAACAGTACGGCTTTCTTGAGGTCACTGCTTCAAGCTCCTGTCTCCAATGTGCAGGGCAGGCTGAGCAGGCACTGCTGCCTTGTCCTGGTCTCTGCAGGGCTGCATTCCTTTCTAGCAAAACCAGGAAAATGATCGAGTACTGTGGCTGTTTTTGGGTTTTTTTTTTTTTCACTGTAAGAGAGCAGAGCTTGCCATCAGGTTTAATAAGCATGGCACTGCTGAAGGCTGCTCAGCCTGTGGTACCCATCACACTGCTGTCCCTGCGCCGTGCTGCTCTCTTGCTGGAGGAAGCTGCCTGTTGGGAAGGAGTGCTGGGAAAGCCCCAAGCTTAACCAAACCACTCTGCATCACGTCAGCATACTGTATGTCAGGACAAGCCTTTTTCAGGTTGGCTATTTTTATTTTCTTTAAGAAGAAGAAAGAAGGCTAACCTGGAAAGAGATGGCTGCCAGACTTGCATGAGGGCACAGAGCCTTCTGAGCATTTCTCCATCCCCCACTTGGGGCATTTATTGTTCTCCCTCTTCTCCTGCTCCTTCCCTGCCCTGACGCAGCGAGGTGAGGGGCCGAGCTCCTGCATGTCCCCAGAGCCCTCCTGGAGACACGAGAAGCCCTTGAGATCTCACAGTGGCATCAGCCATGAGAACGACCTTCAAGGCAGCTCATTTGGGATTCAGCACAGCACACCTTCCTGGGGAGAGCTGCTGCAGTCTGACTGTGTGCAGCGGCTGTGCTCAGCTCAGAACCAGCTTGTGTGAGCCATTAAACTTGCACTGAACTGGTGTTGGGCTTTTTACATCTCAAACTTCATTTTGCTGTCATGACCAGACAGGCACTGAAGCTACAAACACATTTTTCATCTTTTAAAATATTAAAGTAGTTCATCCCATGGTCAGAGTACTGCAAGATGTGCAGCAGTTGTCTTTTTTAGTTCTTGTAGCTCAAAAATTACAACTGAAGGAGAAATTCATTTCCCCGAAGGTGGGGTTTTTTAATGTGGTTCGTGCTAGCAAGGAATTCCTGCTCTGCTGCACCTGTTTGTGCATCACAGTCCTATCTGTTCTACTTCTTAAATTGTCTCCTTGTAACAGGTACCTTTATTTTTCTTTAAGAAATGTGGCTGAAAATATATGTGGTTTTTTTTTTCAATAAGAACGGCACTGTCCCTGCACCTCTGGAGCATAGAGACCTTCCTAAGACAAAATTGAAAAGACAGCTCAGAAATTTAATCTGTGGCACTCTGCTCTGCAGTGGGAATGCTCTGCCATAACTAAAGCAAGAGGTTCCGTGAAGTCAAAGATGGAGCTGTAAAATGAAATCAGAAAGAAGTCTGAGGTTCCAAAGTGAGTCCTGGAATACTTACAGGCTTTCACAGCCACATTGCTCAGCAGACCCAACTTCCATTCTGCAGCTTTGGGGGTGCAGCCATTGCTGAGATGAATTCAGGTCCCAGATGGGGTGCAGCGCTGTGCAGGGGCAGCCTGGCCTGGTGGTGGCCATCCCACGGCACCAGGGCTGAGAACAGACTCGCTCTGTGTCTGTGGGTTTGCCCACCTCTGGCTGTTGGTTTCTGGCAGTTTTCATCCTGCTGTTGACTCAGGAAGATGAGATAGGAGCTCTCTAGGAGCACAGGAGGCAGGCATGGTGCTGAGCACCCCGCTTGGCCGGGCTTTGCCCTGCAGCCTGCAGCTCCTTCAGCTGCTGAGGGAATTTGAATGCAGACGGTGCCTGCAGGCAAGGAGTGCACTTAGAGCAGCCCAGACTAAACAGTCGGTGCCTGTGTAAACAGCTGTGTGCATCCTGGGGCTGTGCAGCGTGGTGCTGCTGCCTTGCCCAGCACAGGGGTGGCAGTGTGGTGCTGCAGCCAGAGTGGGGCTCCGAGCAGGGGAGGTACTGGGGCATCTCCTTTTGGTGTACGTCACCATTTTCTTTGCACTGGCAGCAGGACCACTGTGAGGTGGATGTGCAGGTATTTCAGTAACAGTTTGGGGGCTGCATACCCCGTGAGAAGTGTATCCCAAACTGGGGAAAATGGAGAAAAGGGAAAAACTAGGGTTTATTATTCGGTTCTGTGGAAATGTTAACACGGGGCTTATGATGTGTTTGGAGCAGCAGGTGAGCCCTGCAAGGTGCTCTGGGCTGTGCTCCGAAGGGCTGGGCGAGGGGCAGGCTGCTGCCAATCAGCTGAAATCCCTGGGCATCCCTGGGAAGAGGTGGAGAGTGACCTTTGGATGGGACTCTTAATCCTAAAAGGGAAATACAAAGGGGACTTGGCAGGTTTTTTTCCGCTGGGGTAAAGGTGTCTGACTGTGCCAGCCCTAAAGGTTCACCTGCACACAGCTGGGAAGTGCCAGCCAGTAGAGGTGGATTTATGAGCCCTTCAAGGCTTGTTTTCCTCCTGCTCTTTCTCCTGGAGCAATGTTGCAATATATATGAATTTTAGCAATATTTAAATACTTCAGGTCCCAGGGCAGAAATGTAGAAGTGAACTGTGTGTGCTCGCAGTATCTGCAACCAACGGAAGGAGGCCACATTTGTTTGTTTGTTATGATGGTGGGCTGTAAGGCCATGTGGGGAGGCTGTGGGTGTTCCTTGCAGGGGCTGTGGGTCCCAGGTACAGATTGCAGCACTGGGGTTGGTGCCAGGATGAACAGAGCCTCAGCTCCTCAGTCTTTGTAACCAGGGGCCATTGATCCCTTGGGGGAGGAACCATCCTGTCGCTAGAGATGTATTTTTTATAGCACGTCAAGATTAAGCTTAAGTATTTGCTTAACTGTCTTTATTTTCCCATGGTTTTCTTGATTGCTTGCATCAGAATGTGGGTGTGAAGTTTTCTGTTTTTCTCAATCTTGCCATTATTTCATGGAGCATTTGCTGATATCTCGTGAATCACCCATGGCTCATGAATCACATATTGAGAAACACGGCCGGGGTCGGGAGAGGAACCCACGGAGCAGGCATGGCTGGGAGGGGGAGGCCTGCAGTCTGGATAAAACGGTTTGCTGCTGGCACTCATCATTCATTCTGATTTGTCAGATCTCAATGGGACGGGAAGGGAGGGAAGCCTTGCTAGGAGCGGCGTTCCAAGGGCAGCCCATCCCATCCCATCCCAGGATGGGGGGAAGCAGGGCGGGGGGGCGCAGCTCAGCCATGCTGACACCAACCTCTCTTCTTCCCGATGCAGGAGGGCAGCCTGTGGCCGTCGGAAAGCACCGTGTCGGGGAGCGGGATGGCTGAGGTGAGGACAGCCTGGGCTCTGCGTGCCGCCGGTCCCCGCGCCCCAGGGCCGCACCTCACATCCCGCCGCCCCTTCTCGTTTCTTTCTCTCCCCTCCAGCAGCAGATCTACACCCCGCGGCCCAGCGAGCGCCTGGCGGTGCCGTCCTTCCTGCAGCGGGACCGCTTCAACAGGTTCCAGCCCACCTACCCCTACCTGCAGCACGAGATCGACCTGCCCCCCACCATCTCGCTGTCGGACGGCGAGGAGCCCCCCCCGTACCAGGGACCCTGCACTCTGCAGCTGCGCGACCCCGAGCAGCAAATGGAGCTCAACAGGGAGTCGGTGCGCGCACCCCCCAACAGAACCATCTTCGACAGTGACTTGATAGATAACTCGGTGTACGGGGGGCCGTGCCCCCCCAGCAGTAACTCTGGCATCAGCGCGACCTGCTATGGGAGCAACGGCAGGATGGAGGGCCCGCCGCCCACCTACAGCGAGGTGATCGGGCATTACCCCGGAGCCACCTTCTACCAGCACCAGCAGAACAACAGCGGGGTGCCCTCGCTGCTGGAGGGCAGCAGACTCCATCCCTCACAGATCAATGGCCTTGAGAGCACAACGGCGTGGAACAAAGAGAAAGAGAAACAGAAAGGGCACCCCTTTTAAAAAAGGAGAAAAAGGAGAGAAAGGCAAAGTCGGCGAAACGCTCTGCACTTCTGGTGGGAAGGAAGAAGGGGAGGGATTGGGAGCTGAGGAAGATGAGCAAAGGAAAAAAAAAAAGAAAAAAAAAAAGCCCTTCCCCATCTCTCCATGTATAAATATTTACTTGTTATGTCTGGTCTGAATGCACAAGCCCACAAAGCTTGCAGAAACATTTCTTTCTTGAGCTGTGTCTAGACGTTGAAAAAGGAAAAAGAAAACAACTGTAGTCTTTTATTTTTTTTTTTTTGGTTTTGTTTCTAGTTGAGCTGTGTGTGAATGCTTTTTTGTTTTCGTTTGATTCTTTCACTTAACTTTAAAGACAAAATATTTGCACAAAAAAACGTTTTGTTTAAAGATCTGCAATATAAATATATAAATATATATTAAGAATAAGAGAAAAGTGTATGTGTAAGGAGCAGGAGTATTTTTGTATTAGAAGAGGCCTATTAAAAAAAAAAAAAAAAAAAAAGTTGTTTTCTGAACTAGAAGAAAAATGGCAATTTTTTGAGTGCCAACTCAAAAAGTGTGTATGACGTTGTAAAAAACAAACACAAAAAAAAAAAAAACCACAAAAAAAAAAAAAAAAAAAAAAAAAAAAATCAAAAGCAGGGGTTTAGAGTTATTTATATAAATGTTGAAATTTTGCACTATTTTTTAATATAAATATGTCAGTGCTTGTGTTGGTCAAAGCCTCTATCGTGTCTACCATGCAACTGTTAAGGGATGTTTGTCCACAGGAGCAGCAGTGAGTGGGGCTGTGGGCGCTGCGGCGCCGTGCAGCCGAGCTGTGGGGCTGTGGGGGGCCTGGCTGCTGCCGGGGGGGGAGAAGCGAAGCCGGAGGCAAATTATTTTTTTTTTTTTTTTTTTTTTTTTTTTTTTGGACAACCTCTAACTTTTTGGAGGGGGGTGGCGGCGGGGATGAGAATAAACTTCTGTGTCTGAAGGAACAAAGTGGTTTTTGGTTTGTTTCTTTCAATGTCAGCCTGGAGGGCGCTGCGTGCAGGTGTGGAAGCAGCAGAGCTGTGGGGGGGGGGGGGGGGGGGGGGGGGGGGGGGGGGGGGGG